ACAATCAACTATTATTTAAAGTTTAATCGCTCAATCAATTCTATAATTACATATAGGTATTCAATATATTAATCTAATGACTGTTTTAAGTATCTCTATTTCTTTCACATCCTTCGATATAATGTAAACGCCACATTGTATCCGCATATCATCTTTTTTTTTGTAATCGCAGTTCTACTTACGTTGTTCATGTATTCGCTCAGAAGATCCTGAAGCGCCTGTCTGACCGCGTTACATTCGGCGACGATGCGCTCTCTACGTTCGTCCCGAGTGCACGACGAATCCGCCATCAGTGCGGCACCGCTGATGATACTCTCCAATCTCTCCTCGAGGCTCGGTCGCGTGCGGACCTCGTTGTAAGCGAGCGGGGACATCACCATCCTCTCGTCGAAGTCATCCAACGCGGCGGCCAACTCGCCCGGGCCGTCGTAAGGGTGCTGGCTGTCGGGCGGCGTTTTCCCTTGAGCAACGTCGTTTATCGTGTTCACGGCCTCGCACACCTGCTTCAGCACGTAGTCGCGATTGGCCTTGGCCGCCGCCAGATCGGGATGCTGCACGTACACCTTCGACGCGGTGAGCAGCATGGTGGAGTGCTTCTTCAGGACGGCCCGGGCGGCCGCCAAGTCGTCCCTGAGCTGCGGATCCTTGAGCTCGTGCTGGCGCTTGGCCGCCTGCTGAATCAACTCGGCGGCGTTTCTGCCGAACTCCTTGATGTTCTGAATCAGCTCGCCCTGCGAGGAGGCGTTCTTCAGCTTCTTCAGGTCGTCCTCCACGACGTACAGGGATTTCAAGAGGAGATGGACGTCCACCATGTCCGCCAAGATGAGCAAACGCGTCACCGCCGACAGCAAATTCCTCGCGGCGCGCACCATGTTGCCCCGTTTCAAGGACGAGCACGGATCCTCGGAAAATTCTCTGCACATAAATATATTTCACCGTTTACATTGGCAGTAGCGGGAGACGTAGTATATATTACAATTACGTAGATTACGTATGAATAAAATTTACCTGGCGGCAATGCTCATTGCTGCTCCCGTTTTCCTCACTTCCTCCACGGCGCTCAGCATCTCCGCTGTGATGTCCGGATTTTCATAAGCAATCTTCTCGCCCTTCTCGATGAAATTGGTAGTCGCCTTCTCCACAGTTCCGACCAGCGCGCTCGCCCTCTTCGACTTTCCCTTCTTCTTCTTGCTGGGACCTTTCGTGTTCACCAACGTCGTAACCTGGAGCACAAGCGGCTCCAGCGTCTTCTCCACAGACATGGTCCGTATCTCCAAGTTTTTGGGATCCCATTTCAAGGTAATGGGCCCAAAGTGGTCAGACATGTTTATCGTATTAATGTTTATTCTACAATTGCAAAAAGATGTCCAGTATGTAAAATCATAACGCAAAAGCTTGCAGGGATGAGATATGCCTGAAATTAATGCTTAATACACGCGTGCAGATTTTCATATAAATTAATTCGTATTGGCAATGAAGTCTAATAGGCACAATTATTTACAGAAAGCTAAACGACTCGCTCATGCATCCCTATAAGGCGTTCTCTTTCTCTCTCGTTTTAATTCCTAGATTCCAATCATTTTTTTTTATCCTTCTCCGATAATCATCTCAAGTTTTTATTTAGAACTACAATGCTTACGAATTTCATTTAATTTTATTCCAAATACAAGTGCAGAAATAATTTTACTACATAACTGGATTCATATTGATCACAGAATTAGCTGCTATTTGAGTAGAGATAAGATTATTTGACACAATGCTGAGTCTTCCAAAAACTCCTCAATATTTCCTTAATCTTTTTTTTAAGCTGAATTCGACTAAGAGTTGTAAAAAAAAACCTATTAATTTTATGATCAAGAAGGCAAATTATCGAAGCTCGATCTAATTAAAAAATTCAGGTCAGGAATTGTCCTGTCAAAACGATAAGTAAAGTAATCGTGGATTACTCCTCTTCCACAGCTTTGCGTCTTCAGCGGGCCAGCGGGCGTGCGACGGGGACGTCCGTGACGCTCCGGAGAAACCACAGGTACGTCGTTCTGCCGACGGGTGTAACGTGGACCCTCTGATAACGGCATTCCCGAAGGGAGCGTCACGTACCTTCGCACGCACGCTGGCCAGAGAAGAAAGGGTATAAATAGTAGCAGATAAGGCGAGGAAAATACGTACGAGTCCGGCATTAAGGGAGAGTCCGTGAAAACAGCGCGCGAGAAGAAGAGGCGAGAGCGAACCGCCGACGGGGCTTCGACCGCTGTCAACAACGACGACGAGCAACTCGTACGCGACGCAACGATGCAGAATCGCGCGAGATTGGCCGCATCAAACGGGAAACGCCGAGACACGCGACACGGTCCAACGAGCCCGACGGAACGAGTACCGTACTAAGCCGTACTTATCGCCGATGTATCACACCGTTGGCATTCGCCTGCCTCTCTCGCCTGCGCCCCGAGTCGTGCCCTGACGTCATTATTTCCGCTGGGGCTCCGCTCGCGCGACGGGATCGGGATTGTAGAGCGCGCCCGCGCGGTCTACGCCCGAAACCTCATGGCGCGTTTCGACCGCGCGGCGACCAAGCGGGCGAATTTAAACCGCGACTCGTAAAGATCGAAAAGAATCTCGAAAGAGAAAATATCTTCTGCAAAATAAGTATGTAATACTACATTTATCATTTCTACCAATAGTAGGTTAACTACTCTCAGTTTAAGGAAGAAAAGCTCTCTCACAGAAAAGCGGAAAACAGAAAAGCATAAGCCAATCAGAACTCGCGTTGGTAGTCAATAGTTTTTGCTTTCTGCTTTTCTTGCTACCAGTGCGAGTTCGGATTGGCTTCTGCTTTTCTGTTTTCCGCTTTTCTGTCAAGGTGTGAATTCGCCCCAAGTATTTACTTAATTTTTATACCTTTTTCTAATTCCCAGAACTGAAATCGATCTTTCTGAAAATAAATCGCTGGACGTAAAAGCGGACCGGCCAATCAGCGCACGTTATAATCAACGGCGTCAAACGCAACGCGAAAATAGCCCTCTGTCTTCCTTTCTACCGTTCTAAACAAAGTCAGCACATATTTCCTTCTTTGTCATTTGAATTACCGACGAGTATTCTACTTTGTATTTAATTGAGATACGCAATATTCGCGCGGAATCATTCCTGGAAAATTTCCATCTCCCACCCCACGCCCGTCGAATGCGCGAATTTAAACCGGATTCCAATCCGGGGACGCCGTCATGGAAACCGGTCCGCATCGGGGGGGGATCTCGCTCTCGGCTCACCTCGGCTCGCTTCGGCTCGGCGAGTCAGCCACTTCGGTTGATCTCGGTGTTGACCGAGAGACCTTCGATTGCTCCGAATCGCGCGACTCGCACGACACGACGCACGCCGCCGCCGCCGTCGTCGTCGCTCGTCACTCCACCGGTATACATCCGCCGTGTCTCCCCTTTTTTTGTTTGTTGGTTTCCGCGAGCACGCCACGTAACGTTCCCCGCCGAGTACGCCGCCCGTTCGTCGGGAAAAGCCGTAGATATGTCGCACGGCGGCAGGAACGAGTGTAGGATATACGTGGGCAATCTGCCACCGGACATACGTACGAAGGACATCCAAGATCTCTTCTACAAATTCGGAAAGGTCACTTTCGTCGATCTGAAGAATCGCCGGGGTCCGCCTTTCGCCTTCGTCGAATTCGACGATCCGAGGTGAGCTGCTGTTGGGGCATGTAACAGGGCGCGGAGGGCGCACGGTCGCTGTTTACGCCGAATTCGCTGTTTACACGTACCTACTACCAACACACGCGCTGCCTTCTCGCGTCTGACGTATGGGTTCGTTGGGTCGAGCCGTTTACGCCACTTCACGCGACCTCGAATTCGAAGCGACGCGACGTGCACACAGCTTGTCGAGAATTTCGGGCGATGGGACTCGCGAACGTTGGAAAGCTCTTGACTGAAAATTATTTGCTTCTCCTGAAGCATAAAACAACGTATGGGACAGCAAAAGCGACTGCCGTTAATTCGGGCAAATAAAGGAAAAACAATTATTATTGCGAAGTAATAGAATTGTTTTTCTTTATGAGACTCCATAAATTCACAAAATACCAAACTTGTGTTAACCAGATAAAAAAGTTCTAAAAACGTGTATATATGTAGTTTTAAAGACATATTCAAGATACACAACACTGTTCTTCAAAATAAAAAATATCGTTTCAAGATACGTATAAAAAAATTGTTTCCTTAGCCCCGCGACAAAACACGTTTCTCAACGAACGAGTTTTGGCTTATTTAATAAAATTATATAAATATTGAATGAAATTCGCATTTTGTAATATTCGACGCGCCTAATGTATTTTGCAGATTCATCGCCGTTAAGATTTGCCATTGAGATTCAAGTGGACGTTTCCACTCGAAAGTTACATAACAACTTTATCGCCGAAGAAGCGTAATAAAAAAATGTCCTCGTTTTTTTCTTGTCTTTCCAGAGATGCGGAAGACGCGGTACACGCGAGGGACGGCTACGACTACGACGGCTACAGATTGAGAGTCGAGTTCCCGCGCGGCGGCGGTCCCAGCAACAATTTCCGCGGTGGACGCGGAGCCGGGGACAGCGGCCGGGGTGGCCGCGGCGAGATGAGCAACTCCCGCGGCCGCGGCCCGCCCGCGCGACGATCGCAGTACCGGGTGCTGGTCAGCGGACTGCCGCCCTCGGGAAGCTGGCAGGATCTCAAGGACCATATGCGCGAGGCCGGTGACGTGTGCTTCGCGGACGTTTACAAGGACGGCACCGGTGTCGTCGAATTTCTGAGACACGACGACATGAAGTACGCTGTAAAGAAGTTGGACGACTCGAGATTTAGATCGCACGAGGTACGTATTCTACGCTGTTGTCCCAGTCAAGGACTTGTACTCCAAGCAATGAGTTCGTCTATGAATAAACTACAATCGTCATCCAAGTTTTTTTACGCGACCGTATGTACGTTTGGACCGTATTTTACGTTTAGTGTGCTTTGATCGTGTTCGATTTGACATTCAGGGTGAAGTAGCTTACATCCGTGTGAAGGAGGATCACAGCGGTGGCGACAGGGGACGCAGCGAAGACCGGGAGAGGGGCCGTACCCGCTCGCGAAGCTACAGCCCACGGCGCCGTGGCTCGCCTACGTACTCGCCGCTGCGGCGTAATTACTCGCGATCAAGATCTCGTTCCAGGTCGCGCTCTTACGACTAGTATGTACGTATGTGTTTCTCACATGGTAATACAATAAGTACAGGTTTATATTGATAATCTGCTCTTTACCATGTTTCATTATTGCTGATTTAAATTTCACTCGATAAAGATTTTCCCAACAACAACACGAGTTTTGTAAACGGAGTTTTAAATTAATTTCTTAATATTGCTTGAATTTAATAGCTGAATTAATTGACTGTATTGTATTTATCTCTCTCTCTCTCTCTGATGTATAATTAGAGCACGGTTTATTTCGTACATACATACGTCACGATTATTCTTTAAGTTCCTTGCTTTCAATAATAAGCATATCTTATCGTTCGACCCAGAAGCAAGTTAATTTAGTGATTTCATTTTTCGTCGTCATTCTAACAAAGATTCGAAAATACGGTAACTCTATTGAATCTTATTAGCCTCAAAAATAAAATCGTGCTCGAGATCATGTGTAACTGTTTGTCATCTAAACTCTGTCGGATCTAATTTTCAACATTTAATACATTCCTTCACATACATATTTGCCAATTTGTTTTTGTCATCACTACCATTTATGAAATGTGTAACAATTTTGACGTATTTTAACGAGCCTTCTGACAAAATTAGACCTAAAAACCTTTTAACTGTTTATTCTGGCTGTTTAAATATTGATATAAATAACGAAAAGAACTGATTTATGATGAATATTTTTGATTGACAATAACTCAATCACTTTTTACTAAAATACGTTTCTAACAATAGTAGCTACTTTAATGTTTAATGTAATTACGTGAAGTATATTAATACTTAAGTCTTTATTTATATTTGGATATACGTTGCATAATGAAATATGAAATTTTAAGGTCTTGCCTAACAAAAATTTCTTCCCAATAATCTCGTATCGTGTGATTTTACTAACATACTTTTTATAATCGATCATCTTCATATTTATTAGGATAATTTTATCCTGTATTACTATAAAAGTGCTAAACTTTATCATACAAAAACAGGAATATGGATAAACTGTTTGTACTAACATATTTAAAAACACATTTTATAGATACTAATGAATATAAATAAAACAGGGCTTAAATTAATACTTACGTAAGATGCCTTTCTCATAAGTTTTAAACTTACTGATATTATTGTAATAATTATTATATGCAGTAATTATTATAATACGACAGGTACTGCATATCTAATCGCCTGAATTAACATACTATACACAATTGAGGTGGAACAACTGTTGCTAGTACGTCGAAAGTCATGCGCTACTGCCTAGCTGCAGATTTCTTAACGCATTTAAAGTCGATTTAACTTTCAATACTAAACTACTTTTGTCGAGAAGTCCGTATTTTAAGAGGAAATACATCAATATGCGATATATTCTGTATACATGCGTCTTAGGCAATAACAAATAAACAAATTAAAAAAGAGTAGCATGCTATGTATGTATATTCGTCTTACAAAATATATTTTTTTTTAATGTAGAAATACGATTATATATATTAACTTTAACAGATATAACATGTATATAGAAATAAATACCTCAAGATTGTTTACACGATTCATTTACGCAACTTACTTTCGTCACTTTTCGAATCAGAGTAATACCAAATCGAATCAGTAGTGATGACAATATATCGCGCATATACGTATAATGGAATATATGAGCGTTAACAGTTAATATTTATTATACACCACACGTAATTATATTGGCACAAGAATCTTTCTTTTTATTATCACTCCCATACAATCTAATTCGCTTGATAATAACACGCAAATGTATTTGACAGCAGACTTGATGACCTTAAATGTTTCGTGGGTCATTTCCTGATTTTGCAGATTGCGTTTGATGTTATTTCAGTACAAAATGTCTTAACTTATTTAACATTTCTCGATGTGAAAATATACAGCATAACACGTGCTCATTATATATATACATATGTATATGAATAATCTGGACATTTACAACATATCCAGATTAAGATAAATTTTAAGTGATACACGAAGAATTCGGTGAAATGCGGTGAAATAACTACAAATTGATATATTGATACGTTGCCGTTCGCATTTCTCTGTTCGTTGTGTTTTCCTTTCTCTTATATTTGCAACAACCACACGATTAAATGCACCTTTTGGACATTTCTATTATATTCTAAAAGTCTTTCGCGGCACATATTGGAAAGGAAAACATTGGATATCGTGTATTTTAATCCTTTTATTTTTGCACATTAATCCTGTGATCTTACAATTAGTCAATTCGATAATTTAAATTTATCTCTTCTTCTATATGTGAGTTATAGATAATTTCGTTTTCAAAAACGCAGTGTTAAAAATTTTCCGCTATACAATCTATATTGTACATACGGTGCAATTTCACAATTTTACACGTCACAGGCATTACATTTGCATTAATAAACTATATCTAATATTAATTTGCATCACATAAGGAACTAATGTATTTTTTCTTCTTTTGTATATTGGGATTGTAACACAATGAATGAAAAACTGAAATCAACACGATCTTACTTCTTGGATGGATATAATACACATTCGCTTGACGTTGGGAGATGGATTGCGTTTTGGAGGATTTGCGGTATGGAGAGCATAAATTATAAAAGGATTATAAAAGAAATAGATGAAAATGAGAATAGCGAAACAGGATACTTTCAAGAGGAAATTCAGGATCAGGAGAGAAAGAAAGGATTCTCAGTTGCTGGCTCAGGAAACGTTGGCAAGTCCATTACGAGGAGGCGATGAATGCCCATTAATATTTCTTTTTGAAACTATAGTAGAATCCCAGTTTGAAGCTAAATGATTTTTGTGTGTCGCTGTTTTAAATGAGAAAACATAACGAAAGTGGGACTTCCTCATTATGTTATGTGCTTATCAGGATTAAAGTGCTTCGAGTTGCGTTATCATTTCCGCGTATCGATTTAAAAAGAAAAAACAGAGAACGCATTCCGCGCGTTTAATTAATTCATTTGTAGTCTGAGTAGTCAAACTAGTAATGGATTGTCAACTACAACTGGATTCCGTTGGAAGCCTTTGGTTTATAACTCTAAAGTTTCTTGAACTTTAGTGAAGATTAATTTTTCGGATCACACTCATTAAGGATGGATTTTCGGCACGATATTTATCCTCTTCTTCGTACAACGAATAACGTCAATACTAGACTCAATTCTGTTAGCCGTTACATACGAAACATTTCGTATTTAGTGTATTATTTGAAAGGTGGAAGTGATTCTTTGGAAAGACTGTCGCATGCCTTAATAATAATTGTACATTCGATAATATCGGCGATCTAAAGTCCAATTATCAAAAACAAAAACAAAAAACAAATCTCGACCAATCGTGACCGTCAAGTGCATCTTTTTCTCGCGTACATTGTAAACCACACAGTGCGAGTCTTCAGGATTTAACTGGCATAAACAAGAGGATGGTACGTTTGAGTAACGCAACCTGTCTGTCATCTTGACGGGAACCCGGCCTCATAATTTTAGAGGGACTCTCCGTACGAAACGGTACGACGGACAGGATTCTCCGGATATGTTTGGATATATTAGGACGCTGGCAGGATTCGGAAACGGGAATAAATTAGTATGCATGGACGGATATTTTTGGATAAGGATAAAAAAAAATTGCCTACGCTGTGGTATTCACCGGATCGTGTTCGAGCGGATCACTCGGATTCATTAAGGGAACGATATGCGATGTGGAAGAATGTGGATTTGGAAGCATGGTATCGTTCGCGCTTCATAGGGTTCACGGATTTATCTAGGTCGGATACGGGATTTGGAACTCGGTGTTTAGCGGGATCAATTGACAAGAGATAAATTGGATGTCATTTTTCTCACGGATGAAAATGAAAAGCGGATGAGATGGTGGCTTACCGTAAGGTATTTGTGCAAACAGTTTATACCTGAGATACTTATCGATATTTATTTTTCTGCATGCTCTCTCTCTCTCTCTTCGAAAATATTCTTATATTCGTATATTTTCATTTTTGTCACCAACAGGGTAAACACAACTGTTAGTAACACGCAATACAAAGCCTGCCTCGATAAAAAAAAGTCTTAAAATGTGTTTGCATTAATAATCGATCCTCCCTGTGTTCAGCTTCATTTTCATTGTTGTGAAATTTGTCACGCATAACTCACAAGACAGATCTCGCAACAATAACTAGTTGATAACAATTTTGCCTTTTTTTTTGTTTAATTAACATCACAGATAAGTATATTTTTAATACTTTATGTGTTTTATCTGTGTTATATATATTGTTCTTCTGTAGTTAATTGTTATACGAACGATGTGTAGCAATAAGAAGATATGAATAGCGCCGAATCTATAAACGGTCTCGCATAGTGTGTATTTATCCACAAATATTCACAACGATTGTTAAAATTGATAGCAACAGTTCTATATTGCGCATATTTTGTTATATTACATACAAAAATTTAGTATCTGCTCTATATATATATATAATTTTATTATTTCGCGGATTGTACATACTTAACTATTTTCTGCGTTGTACAGGGCGTACAATTTAGGATGTACTTCACAAACTAGGCACTAAATATAACACCGATTGCCTCACACTTTCATTAAATAGGATTCTCCTAACGTGTTTCGCTTCTTTGCAATTCTTTTCTCGACACAGAACCCTGCTGCTCCTTGAACTCTTGTGAATTATTAAACTGGCAAATGAGACGATTAGAAATAAATACATCAAGCACAATATTGTTTTATATACAATTTTCCTTCAATTATCGTCAACGAACAGATCTACTTTTAAGTAATGTCACGCGTTAAGGTATGAATTAATGCCTTCGTGGGTTTGTAAATAAAGAAAGTCATGTTCTTTCTCAGGTAAGTATCGTACTTTTTGATATTTTGATCGTGTTTGTTTGGTTTGCCATTGTATTAACACACAATAGACGCACGTTTCTTCGAGACGTTCAAAGTTACAAAATTAAGCACGCATTCATATGGAAATCTTTAAACGATAATTGTATTCGTACCTGATTATCATAATAGATTTATTCGAACGCGTGAACGCTAACGCATTAATGACTAACGATCGGAAAGACATTTATGTATATTTTTTACATTTATGCGCAAAATATATATTCAGAACGAAAAGCGAGAGATAAGAATAAAATGTGCAGAAAGTAATGCTGAAGAGAATAAATTTATAAACTATACGTAGAAGTTTTAAAAAACTCAAGATGATGAATACGCAAAGATATAAAGGCAATTATGTTATTCATTAGAATCTTATGTACATGACACTGCTAATAAAAATATATAAAATGATATAAACATGTACATAAGGTCAGTCTGTTTTAAGAAAAGGATTAATGTAACAAATTTATACACGCCATATTTAAAAATTGCTAACAAAATTGCTTTATTTGATTTGCCACACAATACGTGCTGTAAATATTATAATGTTTATCGTCGCCAACATTTCGTCCGGTGCTAGCTTAAATAATTTCCCGAATGGGCGTAATAATGAGATCCTTAATAAGCACATTCTCCGGGGTCTGCAACGTGTAGAGAATAGCGTCCGCCACGTCTTTCGGTTTCAGAGCCAATCGTGAATTTTCCTTCAGCCACTGTTGAGTGACCTCGGTCTCCACCAAGCCCGGACAGATGTTCTATCGCGAGAGATAAATCATGTTAACAGATATCGAAGAAAAATAGCTTGTCGAGCGAGTTTTCGGTTTGTTTTTTTTTTTCGGAAATATTTTTATGTAATAAGAAATTATTAATTTTGAACAATGACTTTCTCTTAACACTTTATCTTTTTAGATATGTTTTTTACTTTGCTCGTAAGAATTTGAGAAAAACCAAAACTCTTTCAGTGGCACCAAGTGAAATGTTAAAAGATCATAATTTATTGTAACTTTATTGTATATTGGAAAATGATAAGAATGATCATACTTTATATATAAATACTTAATAAATTCGTTACAGTACGATTCGAAGTTACTTACGATCACTTTGATATTGGACTCGTTCTGGGCCAATTCCAGACGAAGACTTTCGGTCAGTGCGGTCAGCGCGGACTTGCTGCAAGCGTATGCCGGGGAAATAGGCCGGTCGGAGGCAAGCGGCAACCATTTCAGACCGCACACGTCATTGACATTGACGATCCAGCCGTTATCGATTCCTACATATCACATTTCATTTATCAGATGTAGAAATAATTTTTCCTGATTTTTCTTTAAATATGCCTACCCTTGTTCTTCATCAACTGCAGAATCTTCTTGGTGATGAGCGACAAGCCGAGCACGTTGACGTCAATAGTCTTCTTAAGCTCCTGTATGCCGCCGTTGATGCTGGACCAATCCAAGCTGAGGCTAGCGTTGTTTATCAGGATGTCCACACCACCCAGATTCTTCTCGATCCACTCCGACGCGCCCTCGATCTCGTTCGGAAGGCTCAAGTCGCATTGAAGGGGATAGAGCTTGCCGGGTTTGCCCTTCAGCTCGTCCACGAGAATCTACGGAGATTCGAGTGTCGTATGAAAGAGATGACTGACTCACAATTTATTTTTATTAAATAGTTCCTCTAGTTTATACGCGATTTAATTGTATTTTTAATAGTGCGAACGTCGAACGTACCTTCAATTTGTTTATATCGTTGGAGAGGCCGACGACTTTGAGTCCCTTCGACACCAATTCCTCCACGATCGCCTTGCCGATCCCGGAGCAGGCGCCGGTGACGAGGGCGATCTTGTTCGACAGAATACTCATACTGAAGATTTTGCGTTAACTCACGTAGGCGTCGGAACGAGAGGAAATTGCTGCTCACCACGCAACGAGAAGCTTCTGCATGTCAATCCGCATCCCCGACACCTTTTTATACCGCGCTGAAAATCTGGACCTCGATTAGGGGGTCGCGCACAATCTACGTCTAGATAGGTCGTTGCTTTCTGGATGATGTATTCCCGCGCGGGTATTGCATATTATTCGCGAGATATTACCGCTTGTTTTCGGCGCTGTTGAGTCTCGCCGGGAGAAGGGTTCCCTCATTTAAAATCTAGCGGCATGCTTCGCTGGCAGATAAGACGTATCGTCGTTGTTAAGATGCGCTCGCGAACGTTAAATTGATTATCGCGAAAACGAAATATTATTAATTAAAATAGCGGTTAATTAAAATGTTCGTCGATGCATATTTAATGCTATTGACCGGACAGGTCAATTTATTCAGGTACTAATTTATTCACCGATATGTTCTTTCTTCAGGTTTTCTTTAAATTAACATTATCTAAATACATTAAAATATTTATATATTTAACTTTATCTTTATTTTATATTTTATTATAGAAGTTTATATTAAAAAAAAACTTATTATTTAATTTTTAAGCTTTGGTGCAAGATAAAATTTTATATCGAGCATGATCGAATGTATGAATGTTAAAAGAAATGAGATATTTTTTAAATATTGTCTTTGATATTCAGTATAATAATTAATGCACTCAGCGCCATTAAAAGTATTACGAAAATAAAAATAAAATTAACATCAGCGCTTGAGAATCACTTAATTAAGTCCAATTTTAAACGATATCTTCTTTATTATAATAAAAACAAAATCGGGGATGTTGACGAAAATTCGCACGATTTCCGAAGAAAACGATAAGACATTCCGCGATATCTTCATTAGGAGTAGGTATTGCATCAGAAATTTCAGAGAACGTGAAGGATCTCTCGCGAATCAGTCGACAACCCGTCAGCAAGTCTGCATACAAAGAATTCGCGATGCAGTCCGACGGAAAGATTCGCAAGTGATCGCGAGTATTGCGCGAGAGTGCAGTGTCATCTTTCCCGTTGAACGTCTCGCAAGCGATTCTTTATTACAGAATGGATCACTGCTTTCCGTGACCGAAAATCATTGTAGAAGTGCTTGCGATGCCTCGACTGAAGATGCATCGGCAATGAGATGCAGGAACATCGTCATCCAGCAACGCGCAAATTTCTCAGTAATTCGCAAACTTTATTATTTCTCAATATGGCTTTTGAAGTTAAAAATATCACACATCCCGAGCTTGTCTTAAAATATTACTCCATCGCAATACGATATTTAAGAATATGTATAAAGACTTGTTTAGATATAATTATATATTTTAGGTAATGTCAAATCAGAATCATAATGAAGTATTGAATTTTATTACATATTTGTATAAGTTTTTACTTTAAATAATTTTTTAATTGATCTAGCATGCTAAAATACGTCGGCGCTGTGTAAATAAGAAAAGAAATACAACAAGAGAAGGCGTGAGTGATGCCGTTTTTTTTTTATTAGTTTCGTAAAAAGCACGTGAAAAGCACGATTGTCCTAATTTGCATTTTATGTATTTTCATCTTGAAAATCCAGTTACCACGATTCGCCCAGAGGTCTCAATACGACATCCTGTATCTGCGGGAAGATGTCATTCTTTTAGATTTTATTTTATACGACGAGAGAGAAATGTATCTGCACGCTGCTTCCGGCCGAACAAAGCATTTCCGCATTTTGAGTCTCAACAAACTTTTTTTTATGGGAACAATTTCTGAGATCTCTAGTGAGAGTAAAAAAAAAAAAGTTTGCTGAGATTCAAAGTGCGGAAATGCTCCGTTCAGTCGGAAGTTGCAGCGCGTATACATTACAGAAGTATATATGAGTACCAGAACGTGAGGAGGATTTGATAGCACGTAAATTGCCGCTGCCGCGACGTCGTCCGGTGCCAAAGTCGGCGCCGCTGCCATCGCTTCCGGGGAGAACATGCTGTACGAAGCCATGAATTCCGTCGCGACTAAGCCGGGACTGATGTTCTGCGTGTGAAAAAAATGTAAGCGAAAAGGTCTTAAGCTGCTTGCTCAGCTTTAAATTAAATATACACACTTCTCAGTCATTAATAAATTACGGACTAATTCTTAATTGTATAAACATCAATATAGCGAATTTAAAGTAAAGATTTAATAAGAAAACGTCGTTTTGAAGAAATATCTTAAAGAAACAATAGCCATTTCGTTCCATGTGCCAATTAACGTCTTACTGTGACGCGTATACGCGTGCCCGCAAGCTCGTGCCGCAAAGTCATGGCGAGGCCGGTGATAGCACGCTTTGACGCCGGATATACGCTAAATCCCGGGACAAAGGGCACCCTTTCGGCGGCCAAACTATTCACGTGAATCACAACAGCATCCTCGTCCGCCGTCTCGCGCATCATGCGTACAGCCTCGCGTGTACAGAGACAGAGTCCCAGAACGTTCACGTCGAACACGGACCGCCAGTCCTCCAAAGTGCCGTCTATAAAATATGTCGAAGAAAAATAATACTCGATAATATACTTCATGTCGATCTGTTATACGAAAATGCGTTTAGTTCTTTCAGAAAATAATGATTTATTTTGTGTTGGATCGATTGGATAGAAAAGTTTGAAGAAAACGCACGAAAATTTGCGGAGCTCTTATAGCGTCACGCGTTAGTAGTTTAAAGAGTTTCACCTGTGAGCGAGGATTCCTTGGTGATACCAGCGCTATTCACGAGAACGCTTATCGGTCCGAGATTATCCTTTACCCACGCGAAAGCCACAGCTACGCTTTCCTCCTTAGCGACATCGCATTCCACGGGATGAAGTTTTCCCGAGGAATCCTCCAAGCTGTCAGCGAGTTCCCTAATTTTCTCCACTCTCCTCGCGAAGCCCGCCACTGTCATACCTGACATAATTAAAAAAAAACGGTCATACTAATGACTTCGTAATAATTAAGCTAACTCGGATGATTTTTGTTTGTGCGTTACATCATTCCTTGGTAAGACTTGTAAAGCGATAATTTACAGGCATTTCGAATGGCGCGTCAATATCTTGTTTTCTTTCGAATATACATATAACAGTGATTATTATACTTCTCAATTAGCGGATGATATAGCGAGTGGCGACAATAATTATCTCGGTGCGAGTTGAGATAAACGCGCGTGAAATTACAAAGTCAAATTTCTCGCCCAATCAGAAGAAAATAATGCAATATTCATTCGTCATTTATTTGGAGCACCTCCTCACCTTGTTTAACGAGACTTCGCACGATCGCTGCACCGATTCCGGCGCTGGCGCCGGTTACCACGGCGATCTTTCCGGCCCATCGCTCCATCCTCATGCAACGAGAGTCGAGACGCGACTGCGGACCAGAAGCCTTCGGTAATGAGATCGCGTTTACACGCTCCGGAAAAAAATGAGGACAGACGTCCGACCAGGTACGAAATCCGATAGTCCTCGTAACTGACCACTGCCTGGCCTTGAGATGCGATTACACCTGCTTATTAGATTGAATCTCGATCTTCCCAATGAAATAAAAATTAATAGATATTTTCTTTTTTAAAAACAGGAGAAGAAGTCCGATTTATCATTTTTTCGTTTGTATTCATATGAACATATTTATAAATTATTTGAGGATAAGAATTGTTCCTAATTTATTACATTTATAAGTTTAAGTTATATAATTAGTTTAATTATACTGATTGTGTATATTAATTAATATATTTCTTTCTTATTTGTTAACTTTATTTAATTTATTAATTAATTTCACAAAACTAAAATTTCAGAATAATTTCTCTATGCTCTTAAATGTATAATTATTATACATATATAGGTAATGATTGTAGAAATCTTATAGTTTTTTTAAATATCAATTAGATTTTGCTTAAATTCAAATCGAAGATAATTATTGCGTAATATGCGAGATGCAATTGCTTCCTGCCATCGTTTTAAACACATCTCAAGGCCGCGATGAAGAGCATTTATCAATTGAGCTTAAACAGCTAACAATTGCATAATTACAACCGTAAATTGACGTATGTTGTCTGTAATTAATTATTGAGCATCGTCGTATAAATTGCGGTCGGACTTATTGGAGCATTCAACACGAATGTTTTGTTACGCTAAAAATTCGAATTACGCGCTTATTGTAAATCGTAATTAGGTGGAAGTAAATAAATCGTACGATTCCGATTTGGCTACAAGTATATTTTGGGCGTAAGGCGTCTACATGGATGAGTACTATACAATGCGAGGTATTAATTTCTCTCCTAGAGGTCTAAAGTTTTCTTTATCGCATAACCGTGATATATCTCGAAATGATAATGATCGATCGACCGTGTCGAACTTCTAAACATCGGGATTTAGGCAGACAAACTTGGTACAAAGGATCGCGTGTGTATGTCTTCTTTTTATTTTTTTTTTCTTAATTTTTATTTTCCTTTTTTCTTATTTTCTTTAGATGTTTAGAAGAGAACGTGTCCTCCCTCTTTCTCTCACTTTTAAAAAACGCTGCACCACTCCCTAACTCAACCGACGAACGAGCTCTAACATGTATAGTCGTATTAAAAGACGAGAAATAAAAAGGGGCCGTGTGTTGCTTCACGCCTGTGCTCTCTCCGTGCCGCTTACTACACCGCCAATTGTTATATTTACAAATCCTATATCCTTTTTTTTTTACAAATATCTATACGCCTCTTAAACGTTGCAAGAAAATATATCATTTCTTCTCGTGTAGTGACACGTACGCTACGTTTTACTTTACGCTGAGTTCGCGACTAAAGTTTACACCTTCTTCCCTAAGCTGGTCATTGTTGTTCGTCTATACTTACTTTACGCGACGTGTATTTAACGATGATCGGATATCGGGGAAATATGACGGCGGCAAGGGAGAAATTACGAAATAAAAAATAAAGTACAATTTCCGTGAGAGAGAGACATTGCACTTATATTAGTGCCAATTCCGATTACCCGGTATTTGAAATCGCGATCTCGTTGTGTGTCTCCGCTCTGTCTCCGTGCCTAACTAAATTTATATATGATAATTATACGCGCGCCTAAACTAAACTTCGCACGAGTTGTATACGAAAACGCAGAGGATGCGAATTTTCACAGCGTTTCAGAGATGTTGTCTCACGTGTTTCCTTAGTACTGTACAGTTATATCATTATTGTACATTATATCATATATAATGTCTATTTTTTTTTTATTTTTGGGAACATTACATGTACCCTAACGAACGCTCTACGAGCTATCGAGAGATCCTTCTTTTTTCCGCATTTGAAACCGTACAAACCAATGACCACCGTACATTCACTCGAGACATCGAGACAGCACACATTTTTCTACACATCCTACACACAACAGGTTTTTTTTTTGCTAACATCTCACGTACACGCTGTATGCAGAACGAAACACGTAGAAATCATCGCCGATTAGACTCGATTATAGGCGATCAGAAAAGAAAAGAGAGATACAGCGAACGAATAGAGAAAACTACCTGTCGTTATCTACGCATCATTGTTTCGTCGCGAAAGAGGATCGAGTGCATGCTAAAAGACGACAGGAGTAAAGAGACGCGAGTGAAAGATGACATTGAAAGTCAACGTGAGGATTCATCGCAATTTGGCGTTCGTCGACCGCTTATTCCGACTATACACGAGCTAAAATAAATCTTTTATTATACTCTTCCGAATCGCGGACGAACACAATCTCTCTTTCTCCTCTTTTGTCGTATTCATATATAAAATCGTACCGCCAATTACGAATAATTATTGTATTTAATTGCTTTAGGTGACGCGTGCACGTGGTGTATATCCACGTGCACGGACGAATACAAGAATACCACAGCTATCACATCGACGCAGGACTATAATACGTAATAAAAACTCGCGCCGCAAAAATCCAATATTAACGAATTAAGCTACAAGGGATATATCGATTAGATCAATTATATCAATTTTTCCTTTTTTTTCGTATTTTCGTTACAACTTTTTGCAATAATTTTATCCCCGCGGAAGAGGAAAGAACGTTGGCGAATCTGAAGAGAGAGAGAGAAATCAAACGAAAACGGGAAAACTGTCACCTTGCCCATATATGTTTCATGAATCCTTAAATGAAATACTCTCTTGGAAAAGAGATAACACACTTATACCCAGGGTAGGCAGGTGTAAGGGGCGCAACTATTCTTGTCGTGGATGCTAACGAAGGGAAGCGAGTGTCGTTGCCTGTGTCAGTGTTGGCGAGGATCCAACTGCGTGTTTCTGTGCGGTGTTACATTGCTCGGTTGTGATTGCTCCTGCCTGTGCTGCTGATAGGGATAACGGCTTTGTTGCTGCTGCTGCTGCTGCTGCTGTTGCTGCTGTTGCTGCTGTTGGTGCTGGCGCTGTTGATGCGGATGCAGGGTATGCTGTTGCAATTGCTGTTGCGACTGAGACTGCTGCTGTTGCTGTTGGCCCTGTTGTTTTCGTTGCTCGGAGCCAGCCGCCACATAAGAAAATACGCATAGGACAGCGTAACAGATATCAGATGCCTACGAACGAAAAGATATTTCACGTCGTTACGTACATATACGCATTATTCGTGTCTGTTTATTTATTCATCAGAAATTTTGATATTTAATTCGTAAGAAATCAAAATAAATTTTATCGAATCAAATTTTACTTTTATTCATTTGTAATTTCGTCTGCATGTGTAAAACCAATCTTTAATCATTTGAAACTTTGTCCAGAAACGGCAAGTTGAATTGTAAAAATTGTCTTCTGAACGTAACTTATAATAAAAAACGCAAAATGAAATTTTATGGAACAAAAAAAAAAAAGAACTTACGTGAGGTGTAAGAAAGGAAAAAACTTAAAGATAAGCCTCATGCGGTGTCATTTCCGCGCTTATGTTTCTGTTGAGTTTCCAACGGGAGTTTATTAAGAGTAAATGCGACGGAAAATATTCTATGTAAGCAGCGAACCGCCTCTTCAGCCTGTCACACAGTATATAACTATAGAAATGATAAATACGAAAATTGCAAGCAATAAAATGTCTATGATTCTTTTTACTTATTTTTAAATATACATAATTAATAAAAATTGAACCGTTATAACTTAAATGTTCACTATTAAGTACTTAAATTATTGTGGAAAAAAAATGTTATCGTATTCTACGTATAAAATAATTGTTTAAGTGAAACGAATATAGCTTCAACGGAATTAAATTATTATTTTTTAAATAATAATACAGACATTTTATTACTCTTCGAAATAAATATTTTTTTCTCATTGCGACAGGTATGGTATATTCTGGCAGTAAGGAGCTCTGAAACAGGCGTACTCACCATTTGCGACTTATATTTACGTTGAATTACTTGTCTAGTTTTAGGATCTGAAACAGAAAGGCGCCCAATGACGTTCCAACATTCAAAGACTAAAAGCTAAGTTGCAGCGTAAGCGTGTCAGAGAATATCTATTCTTTTTTGCTCTTTTTATCTCACGAGATATCTACGGCGTGTAAAAGCGTATGATAATCGATGCAGTATTCGGTGTGTCACTTACTGAATTCTTCCAAAACAAAGATTCCATCCTTTTGAGTAAAGCACTTGCGGATATGATCGAGTCTTACAAAAAACTGCAAATAACACAATCGGTTTGCGTTAGTGGTCAGCGCATCGCGCATCATGGAGATCTGGATCTACTCGATCATGCACACGATTCTGACGATTCTCTATTTGCCTATCATTATCATATGCGTCGAATATAGCAATATATATCAGTCGTGTGTGCGTACAGCTTTCTAAAAGAGGCGTGAAAATGTATCGTGATGCTCGCCCGACGATAAGCGTCTGTTTCACCCGTCGAGCGCTAATTTTGCCGTACTGATTAATCAACAATAATTTTTTTCTGAGCTACATTTTAATCTTTAATTATTGAAATTATTGCCATGTTATTCTATTTATTACAGCAATTATGGTATTATTTCAATCGAGATAAATTTGCAAAGAGTCTAACTAAATATTTTTATTATGCAATTCAATTTCATGAAAGTTTTTTATTAAGAATCTAGACGCGCTCGACGGGTTTAGCACAAAAAAGTGTGTTTCACCTTGTTGTCTGTTTTAATCGATGCACGTCATCGTACAGAAAATCACAATTATGCAAACTAATTACAATGCAATTAGCAAAATTATTCACTTCTATACACTTCTCTCGTATAATTTTCTTAGATTTACGATAATCGTCGTCTTAACCTGATGTATTTTTTATATAGCAAAAATATAAAATACAGCAGAAATATAAAATTGGCACGTTATTTTTTTATCGATGATTTATTAACGGTAGAGTGACGCGTGTGACGTACATCAGGAAAAAGTCACCGATAAAATTTCTAACACAATTATAATACAATTAATAACACAATTAATAACTGTTATTATTACATGCCGTTTAATATTAAATTAAGTATAATTTAATTATATTAGATTAGATTCGATTAGATGCGAAGCGATGCTTTAACATTATCGCGATTAGATCGTGTTGTTTTCCGTTTTTCGAAAATAGTCAAAGATACATATGCTTTATTTCAAACATATTTATCTCAAAGATTTGTGATTTCATGTTAAAGATATCGTTCTCTTTACAAAACGAACGAATCTAACAGAGACCCGAATTTATTTATCTTGCACATTAAAACCCGTGTATGTCGAGCGTTAGATTACATCAACATTTTGAGTAACTTTATGTTCCCGATCTCCACTACGAAAGGAGAGAGCATATTGAAAAATAATCTCGCGACGACGACCTCCGTGTAACGAGTATTAAATCGCGTTTACGTAGAATCTCGCGGATACCGTATATAATAAGAGTAAAGCTGAAATAGAAATGTATTCATTACACGTGCAAAAAGTGTATACGAATGCTCGTAAACGAGAGAAACGAAATCGGGAAACTTAAACCCTATGGATATACTTGTATAATAATACATGCAGCATACAATGCTCTTTCAGGACAGCCATTGCCTCGTAACAGCATGCTCGATCTCGCTTTAACGATTGTCATATTTTGCAAACTCAGCAGCCAGAGAGCAATGGTGTGTATTTTCGCAAAACTCAATCTTCACAAGACCAGTTCTCGGAGAACACATGTCTTTTAATTGTTCGAGTTCTGCGAAAATGAATCTTCGGTGTAAGGGTCAGAAGCGATTCAGGTACAAGCGATCCGGGGATCTATTCTATGAGTAAAATCTACCAAAAGACACCATGCATCATTCAGCAAATCGCGTGGCAATCTCTCGGATATATAATTGATTTTTTTTTTTTTTNTTTTTTTTTNTTTTTTTATTTTTT